CACATCCTTTCCTGTTCCGTTGAAGTAGTGCCTGATGGAAGCTGTAGTTTCTATGGAGGTAAGCTATTCTCTGTCTTTATGATAAACTATTCTGTGTCTTTACAAGGCCACGTGAAGCGCACAAACACTCCTTGCGGTTAGAACAGAGGCCTAATAGGATGGATCTGAATAGCAAACAATAATGAGGGACATACACTAGGGAATACGGAGAAATAGGGGACTCTACATCTCACTTGGGAGTAGAGGAGCCCTGGTCATTTAAATCTAGAAGGGTTCTTGCATGCAATTATAACTTCAGTTTAGAGATGAGACTGCAAGCCTAGAAAGGTTGCACATGACTTGTCCAAGTTCAGAGCTCAGCCAGAGAGCTGTTGGAAATGGGCTCTCCAGCTGGGACGTATCTCCTTGGAATCGGTGGTGGTAACGTTAGACAAGAACACACCGATAGTGTGCATGTAGTGACCCAGGGATGGACATCTGACTCAGGGAAGGGACATATTAGTGTTGCCCACCTCAGACACACAAGTGGTGTCAGGGAAAACACTTTGGAATCTCGCAGTTTATGTGTGTATACAGAAGAGTTATCAGGACTGAAAATCAAGTCCAGAGGAAACTCCAGCTGGGCTAGGGCAGGGCAATGAAAAATTATCAGGGGAAGGAAATGGCTTTCAGCGACCAGTGCTATCATGGACACAGCTTAAGTCCAGGATGAACCTAGGAGTAAGAATAATAGGACAGAAAGATAGGACACCAGAGACACGCTCACAGATTAGACCAATGCATACTGGACCAGGAATTCTAACATTCCTTTTTCCTAGGGGTCTGTCTCCCCAGTGAACTAGGCCTAAGTCCATGGGCAAGAAAACTAAGTGGAGACACCTCGAACTATTTAGAGGCCTATGAAGGAGGGGACCCTCAGAATCCAGGGCTCAATTTGGGGAGCCTAAAACACAAGGTTTCCTAGTCACTGACAAAGAGAGGTCTTCTCCCTCAGTAACCAAGAGCCCCAAACACAGCCCAGAATGGGGGAGGTAAGTTTCCATACATCTGGTCGTGAGCCAAGAGACCAGATGAGGAAAACTGAAGCCTGGCCTCTTTCTCACAGTCCGGGGAAATCAGGCACTGGGTGTCCATCCCCACATCTTACCTCCTCCGTAGAGGGTGGCTTCTGAGCCACGCTAAAAATAGCTAAGTTCTCTGGTCTCTGGGGGAGCTTTAAGATGCCGGGGGTGGGTGACAGGGAAAGGAAAATTGCTCTAAACTCTAAAGCACTGCTCTCCGATAGCATTGTCCATGATGATGCAAATGTTCTAAATCTGTGCCGTCAAATGCAGTAGCGGCTAGCTCCATGTGCCTACTGAGCACTTAGAAGGTCGTGGCACTGAGGAACAGAATTTTTTGTTTTTTTTTTTGGCCAAGCCATGAAGCTTGCGGGTTCTCAGTTCCCCGACCAAGGATTGAAACCCAGCCACAGCAGTGAAAGTGCCAGGTCCCAACAACTGGACCGCCAGGGAACAGAATTGGATGCCAGGGAAATTCTGTTCCCTGAGGAAGAGAATTTTTAACATTTTAACTTAATTTTTAACAGAATTAATTTTCCTTAATTTTAACTAATTTACATTCTAATAGGCATTTGGCTAGTGGCTACTGTAATTGACAGTGCAGCTCTAGGGCTTGGGGATAACGGATTTAGCTAGACAGCGATGGAGGGAAAGCAGGGATACTTTAGGTCCTCATCAGGTCCTGTGGAATTGGGCTGGAGTGGATGTCCTAAACCACCGACAGAACACTTCTCTTGTCTCTTTACTCCTCATGCATATCTGTCCCCTCTTTTTCTAAGTTGCTCTGAGCACACTGATATCCCCACACCTTGATGGTCTCCGGTGAGTTGTTGGATGTCTCTCGGTGAAGGCGCCTGGGAGACAGAGCTTCTCACTTGTCCCTGCCTGCTCTGAACTGTCTCTGGCGGGCGTCAAACACCACATGCCCTAGCCGGGTGCCTGACCCAGGACAGTAGGGCTTCCAGCTGGTTTTGGGAGGCGTAGACATCTGGCGATAGTTCTGGCAGGCTGGAGGAACTGTATCCATGCGGTGCTACACCCAGTCTTGGCTGCCTGCTCGCCGGGAGGGTGATTGGAGCTCAATCAGTACAGGTACTTCTGAGAAGATTTGCAGGTCATTGTAGGCCACCTGAGCCCTGGGAGAGCAGGAGTTCTGACTGGGTGGGACAGAAAAGTCCATGGTATGCGCTGCCCAGCATCCTACTTTCGAGGAACTGCCTCAGATATAAATGACTGTCGGGTCTGATGTGGGCCCAAAACTTGGACAGAGTCAGTTCCTAGAGGGTTCTTGTGGAGGCCGGGGTTTGGGATAAGGCATGAGTTGTTATGGAGGCCTGATCTCTTGGATAAGCCAGAGTCTTGAGTAAGGGCTGGACACTTATGGGGGCCAGGATCTCGATTAATTCCCGAGTATTTGTGGAAGTTAAGGTCATGTGTATGTTCTGAGCTCCTGTAATTTCCAGCATCTTAGGTAAGGCCACATCTCCTTTTGACTTCAGTGGCTTGGGTAAGGCCTGGTTTCTTATGGAGGTCAGAATCTTGAGTAAGGCCTTGGGTCCTGCAGACTCCAGAATCTTGGGTAAGACCTGGATTCTTGTAGTCTCCTGAGTCTCAGGTAAGGCTTGAGCCCTTATGGAGGCGAGGGGTTTGCACAAGGCCTGGGCTCTTCAGATTCCTGGCAAAGGCCTGAGCTCTCGTTGACTCCAGAGTCTTGGGCAAGGTACGGACGCTTCTCTGGCCCAGAATCTTGGGTAAAGTCTGGACTCCTAGAGACTCCTGAATCTTGGGCATTACCTGTACTCTTGTCACATCCAGAATGTTGACAAGGGTGTGGGCTATTATGGAAGCCAGTTTTTTGGGAGAGCTCTTGACTTTTATAGAATACAGTCTCTTGCTTTCGTTCCAGATTCCTATAGACTCGAGAATCACGCATAAAGCCTGAGCTCCTCTGAATGTCAGAAGTTTGGAGAAATGGTGTGTTCTTGTGGAGACCAGAGGGTTGGGTGAGATATGGGCGTATAAAGAAACGTCTATCTCGAGTAGAACCTAAGCTCTTCTGGGAGCCAGAATCTTGGGTAATGACTGGATTCTTCTGAAGATCAGAGTCGTGGGAAAGGCTTGGATTCTTGCAGAGGTAAGGGTCTTGGGTAAGGCCTGGAAGCTTGTGGAGGCCTGGATCTTGAGCAAGGCCTGGGTTCTTGGGGAGACCTGGGTCTCGGGTAAGGCCTGGGTTCTTGTGGAGGCCTGGGTCTTGGATAAGGCCTGGGTCCTTGTGGAGGCCTGGATTTGGGGTAAGCCCTGGGTTTCTGAAAACTCTACAGTGTTTTGAAGGGCCTGGGGTCCTTTGGAGGACAGAGCCTTGGTTGAGGCCTAGACTCTCATGAAGTTCAGGGGGTTGGGGCTGGTTTGGGGTTTGGGAAGTAGTGGATAACTGGGGAGGGATGGGGCCCTGGGAAGAGAGGACAGACTGAGGAGACTTGGAGGTTGGGGGAAAGGTGGGGGTTTGTATTAAGGTGGAGGGCTTCTGGTGGTTGCTGTGTTGAAGGACAAAGGATCTGGGAGAAACAAGAGGCAGAGAAAGAGTGCATGGTGGGGGCATGGTGCATGGTGAGCTCTGGGCACTGGTTGGAGAATGGAAGCAAGGTTGAGAAGGTGCAGCATCCTTGGAGTACACCAAGAATGTGGGGTAGACTGGAGTCTGGGGGTCTGTGTTTCTCTTTTCAAAACTGCCAGGATGGAAGCTGCAGTAAGGGAAGGTCTTGGACTGTACCAATTTGTCTTTGACATCATTTGAGATCTTCCCTTCCATATTCCCCAACTCCAGGTAACCAAGTATGGATCCTGTGGAGGGCTTGGCACTGTCCCTACTACATTGCTTCAGTGTTTGCTCTGCTGTACCAGAGCTCACCAGACCATGCCCCTCTTGGGGCCTGGAGGGGGTACCAGCCCGTCCACACTGAGGCGGCATCCAGCAGCAAGTTCTTTCTGGAATATCCAGAGTTCTGAGGCGGACACACATGGAATAAGTTCTGCTTTACCCTGCGGTCATGGTAGACCACATGGCCGGAGGAGAGGCCTTGGCTAAAGGCAGACAAGGTAGAGGGAATAGAACCTAGGATGGGCGTAGGGGTGGTGGACGGGACTTGAGTGTTCGTCAGGGCCATGCCCAGCCCTGGGACAGAGGTTGTGGCAGAGATCGGGACAGGGACTGGTGTAGGGGCTAGGGCAGGAGTAGTAGCAGGGGCAGAAGTTGGGAGAGGGACCAGAGTGTTGGCATGGATATAGGTCAGATGAGCATGGGTCAGGGTGCAGACAGATATTTGGCCCAGGGACTGGGCTGAGGCATGTGAGGTGTCCTGGTCTTGGGCCTGGGCTGGGGTCTGGGCTGAGGTATGCTCAGGGCCATGGACCTGGGCAGGGCTGTGCTCAGGGGTGAGGGCTGGGGAGGGGGTCTGGGCCTGGGGGGTGGTGTGCTCAGGGGAGTGGAATGTGGAGCAAGTCTGGGCCTGAAGTGGGGCGTGCTCAGAGGGGTGGGTGGAGGAGAAGTTCTGGGCTTTGACAGGAGTGTTCCCAGTGGGGTGCACTAGGGAGAAGGCCTGGGCCTGGGCGGAAGTGTGCTCATGGGCGTGGCCTCCGGAGCAGGTCTCAGCCTGGGTGGGGGGCGGGTGTGCTCAGGGGTTTGGGCTGAGGAGGTGGTCTGGGCCATGGCAGGAGCATGCGCAGGGGGCTGAACTGGGGGGCGGGTCTGGGCCCGGGCTGGGACCTGGGCTATGTCAGAGTCTGGTGTCTTAGTCTTGCTGTCTTGGGGCAGGTGGAGTGGAACCACGTCCACCTTGCTCATCCTGTGGAGCTTGGAAGATGCCTCCTGCCTGGAGTACAAGGTGGCTTGGGACTTTAAGGCTGTGAGCGGAGGGGCCTCCCCAGCTCCCACTACCCACTCCATACACAGTCCCCGTGGAGCCTCCGTGGAAGCCCCAGCCCGTCCACACTGAGGCGGCATCCAGCAGCACTCAGAAGAATTCTCGTCATTTGTGTCTGGTATCCAGGAGATTGGGTGGTGGTTTGGGTGCCGAGCAGGAAGCTTGGGCGATGGGGGAAGCGGTAAGAAACTCTTGAGCACAGGTTCTTGGGATCCACGGAGCAGCGCATGCACATGCGATGGCTGCCTACACAGCTGGCTTCCTTGTCTGGGGGAAAGGCGAGATGGGTCAGGGCCTGGCTTCCTGAGGGGCTGAGAATCAAGGTAGGGATAGAAGAAAGGGCACAGGCCCACATCCCCTGAGCCCACGCTGGCGCCCACTCACCCTTGGAGAGCATACGATTGAAAAGTACCCGCAAATAACCCTTCAGATGCCTCCAGAGCTGAGGGAAGCAGGGGAGGGGGGAGACCGAGAGCAGGGTTAGCCCTGAAATCCAATCCTTGTCCGGCCACACCCAAGCAGCCCTCCCATCTCAGCCCCTTCAAGGCCCCAGGGCTCCCCCAACTCCGCTGCCCAGATCCTGCTCTGACCATAGTCACCACGTTCATCCCCAAGTTGAGGAAGATGAATCTGATTAGGAGCAAAAGAATTGAGTCTCCTAGCTCCTGGCATTTCCTGGGGATGGTGCCAGAGCATGGCTCGGCTCGGTAGAGGGCTCGCTCACCCATGACCAGGGGTCCAAGGACTGCCTGGGTCCCCTGGCCTCCACATAGTCACTGGGAGCCAGACTGGGTCATAATGGGGCAGGTGGTGAGGTCACAGTGAGGGAGGGGGA